TATATATATATATATATATATATATATATATATATATATATATAAAACTGAAGAATTAGGTTATGGAAATTGACAAAGTACTTTCCTAGAAATCTCTGCTATATAGAAATAATCATACCTGTTTGGATCCCCCCTCACCCAGTGCAACAACCCACATACAGCCCCTATCGTGACTATCTTGGTACTTTCCTAGCTACCCAGGAAGTCTAGGGCTCATCATCTGTTCCCCTAATCTAACCCTCTCTGCCTGATATTAAAATACAACTAAAATAGAATGAATTAGTTTTTATAACATCTCTTAAAAGCTCCATTTAAATATGTAGTCTGAGCCAAAAAGTTGTTGTAAAATGGTACCTATGAAAGACTGTATTATTGTTGTAATAAAAAATTCAGTTATTAGTACCCATAGGTTGTTCCTTCAGTACCAGGAATAGTCAGCATTCCTAATTATACTTTTAGAAAATAGCTAATATTCTATCATGGTGCCCACAGGAAAAGCCATTTGCAAGCAATTCTGACTCTTTATAAAGGGTCACAAAAATATTCTGCCTCAGGGGCACCCAGTTATTTCCATAGCCACATTGCTTCTCAGAAACAAAATAAAGTCTTACAGTGGAAGGGTAAATTTTATAATTTCACAATAAAACACAAGAACTTTTAAAATACTTTTCCTTTTTTAAAAAAAGAGTTCTTATTTTATGGGAAACTTGTGATCCATTAAGAACTTGTTATCCAAAGAAAACCATAATTCGAAAAGATACATTCACCACAATGTTCATTGCAGCACTATTTACAATAGCCAGGACATGGAAGCAACCTAAATGTCCATTGAGAGAGGAATGGATAAAGAAGATGTGGTACATATATGCAATGGAATATCACTCAGCCATAAAAAAGAACAAAATAATGCCATTAGCAGTGACATGGATGGACCTAGAGATTGTCATACTGAGTGAAGTAAGTCAGAGAAAGACAAATATATGATATCACTTACATGTGGAATCTAAAAAAAATGGTACAAATGAACCTATTTACCAAAGAGAAATAGAGTCACAGATATAGAAAACAAACTTATAGTTACCAAGGGGGAAAGAGTCAGGGGAGGGATAAATTGGGAGATTGGGATTGACATAAAATAGATAACTAATAAGAACATACTGTATAGCATAGGGAACTCTACTCAATACTCTGTAATGACATATATGGGAATAGAATCTAAAAAAGAGTGTATATATGTATATATGTAACTGGTTTACTTTGCTGTACAGCAGAAACTAACATAACATTGTAAATCAACTATACTCCAATAAAAATTAATTAAAAAAAGAACTTGTGCCTTTTTTTCTAACTGGGGAAAACAAAAGTGTACCATAATTGCTTTAAATGTTTTCTTGTGCATAAAGCACTTTAACCCTGGTCTTTTTAATCTTTAATTTGCATTTGGTGTGTGTAATTTGCATTTGGTATGTGTGCATGAATAAGGATACTTTAGAAAAATCTATATTCTATATAACACTGGACTTCAAGTCTTCTAAAAATCCTCAAACATACTGATAGAGGGTATTCAAAATTGTCCTGATGTTGATTCTTCAGATATTTCAAGGGAACAAAAATTTCACAAAATAACATTTCTTTTGACTAAATTATGTCAAATTAAATTGTGTTATGATGGAACTCATGTAACTAATACTGGTGAATTTGTGATTGCCTAAAGAAACTAAAATGGCAGAAAGCATACCTTGGCCCATTCAACTTTCTCTAGTAGATCACTAAGATTTCTTTTAATTGGAACATAATGTTTCCAAGGCTTTAGTGCCATATAAAAATGTTCATAATATGGTGAGTCCTGCTTCAGAACCAAACTGTCACCAAGCATGAGGTATGGATATCTATAAGCAGCCACAGTCCCATCCACATTCACTTGATACTTGTACTAAAAGATTAAAACAAACATAAACAAAAATTTTAACAGTCATTTGTTTCACTTCTGCTTCTTGTCAATACTGTAACATTAAATATAAAGAAGTTATTTCCCAACTTTAGTATTTACAAGTTTTATATTTTATTTTGTAACACACATCTTCTCTTTGTATTAAAATCATAAGTATCATTTAACAGGTCAATTTTAAGAAATACAACACATTTAAAGATAATAAATAATTTTAGGAAATAGGAATACCTATTTCAACTATGTCTATGTAATGGGAAATTCAGATTTCTGTAACCAGGTAAGAAAACTATTTCCAAAGCTCTATATTTAGCAAAGCTTAATATTGATAACAATTTACACTTTCATTTATTTCATTTGTTCCTTATACCCATGTTAGTATAAAAAAGGAAGGCATTATTATCTCAAAGTTCGGTTTTAGAGTTCAGGAGACAGAAGCCTGGAGAAGACTAAGGACTAGTGTGATGCTGGTGACACAGTACGGACATATTTGTTGGATTAATAAACTTTGATTTACATTTAAAGTCACTTTTCATTCAATTATAATAATGTGAAGCAGATGTTATCATCTCCCTCTCTTTTTTTTTTATTAATGATAAAATTTGTTTCAGAGATATTTATAAACCTCTATTCTATGAGCCCAAATCCCATGCTCTCTTCATTATATCACACAGAGGAACAGGATATACTAACAGATTCGGTAATTACTTTTTTCTTAAATAATTGGTACCAAGGACTTTACCAGCCAGTCAGATTTTCTCACATTGTCACACCTCTACCTCCTTTGAGCCTTATACGGTGCTCTGAAGGAGCTAGGCAGGCTCACACATGTTAGAGGCGAGAAGTGCTAAGAGATGAAAGCCCCACAGTTCGTGGCAGAGGCAGGACCGGAGGCAGGACTTGAACCCTATTTTACTAGCATAGAATTCATACTCTTTTTATTTACAAGATCATTTTATGTAAAAGACATTTATATTCCCGTTTATTAAAAAAGAGAAAAACAGGGAAATATACCAAAACTCTAGGTTAATCCTTGTACTGTATTTTGAGTATTAAATACAGTTCTGAGCTATTTGTTAGACAAAGTTAACAACTACAACAAACAAAAAAGAAACTGCATGAGTTTCATAATTCCCTATGCCTGATAAGAAAGTGTGTGTTGGGTCACAAGATGGGAGAAATCTGCCCAACCCCAGCTATTTGGTTGACTTTTAATACAAGTTTATCACTTCATATGTATCCAGGAAGACTTAATTGCATACCTTAAAGAAGTCAAAGAAACCTATCAATTTAGCTTTTCCAAGCTCCTTTTCTTTTTCTTGGAAGAAGAAATATCCTGTAATTCCTGCATCTAGTAGCTGTGGATTATCTTTGGACAGCTGCACCAACTGGAGCCTCTCCTCTCGGCTATCTCTACCTCTAAAGAAAGCTTTCTCTGTTTTATTGATCCAGGAAGGTCCTAGAGGTTTGAGACCATAAAAAAATACAATTATGAATTTGACATTTTTATATTATGGTAAGTATAATCATCTTTAATCTACCTTTGTCATTTAAGATGCTAAAGCTCTTTTATCATCAACACATCTAAAGTAAATGTTACTTTTGAAAAATATGCTCTAATTTTATCCTTTAGTGTACTAGTGAGAGGTCACTCAAAAAGTGGAGTTTCTATTGCATGACATTAGGAATTATCCAAAATAATGCTGGATCAAGTTCAAAGCAAAAAGAGATTCCGTGACTTGGCTCACTCATCAAGGCATTAGTTTCTTCCAACTTTTGTGCTTCACAAAAAAAAAAAAAAAAAAGCGCTAGGCTTTTATTCTTAGAGTGACTAGAACAAAGTAGAGAATTAAGTAACATCCACACATCTTTAATTCTTAGGTTGCTCAGAATTTTGAGCATATCACTTTTGAATACAGTGCAGAAGTTTTCTAATATGTTGTTAAATGCAAATAAGTTTTGCATAACTTAACTATGTATATATATTTATATCGTCTCTTTCCTGGGAGGGAAATAATCTGGAAGACTTAATTTAGCTCTCTTTCTATTATTCTAAAAAGAAGTCATTAGTTAACACCTGTCAGTGTTCTAAGGGATAAATCATAAAACATAGAAACTGTAGGGGGTCAACCTCTTTACTATTTTAGCATACTTTTCAGGAATTTACTGTTATCAAATAAAAAGTAGGTCAGTTTTCATTTCCCATTACCTTTAGAGAGTTTACAAGGAGTCTCTAGACTTGTCTACTAAATAAGTCCACTAAACTGCTCTAAACAGAAATAGAGACTTATTAAGACAAGGCAGGGATTTTTTCTACTCAGGGAGTTCGGTTTAATAAAAAGGTGTGTAGTACCATAAACCTAAGGTCATCAAATAGGAGGAAAGGAATTCAGATTGTAAAGGATCAAGAGAGGCAGAAAGAGGGAAGAGGAGAATTTCTTATGGTGCTGGAGGTTGTAATATCCAAATTATACTGTTATCACAATTCTCTTACATAAGAATATAATTTTATATTTTTCAGAATTCTCTCTCATTTCATCCAGCAATATAAAGGCACTGGAGTCAGAATTAAGTTAAGTGATAGTTTTACCAAATATGTATTTTCAAATGGTATTTACAAGTGACCAACTCAAAGGAGACTCAGTTACACTAGGTTCTGGACATTACTAGCCTAATCCACATATCTTTAATTTCTGGATTAGAAGAATCCTAAACAAAAACCACTTTAGAGTTTAGAGTGCTGTTTTTCTTTTTTCCTGGCTAGAAAATAAGAACAATGGTTATTTAAATATATTCACATACTCTCTCTGATTGAACATTCCTTTCACCTTTCTTACTTCTAAGCTTTTTCTTAGAGAATGACTTTTACCTGTATTTCCTTGAATAGAGAGAAGATCATTTGTAACACCCCTCATAGCTTCAAGTGTGGAGTGGGTGATGTCATATGTTGGAAGGATAACATCTCGTGAATCCAGAGAGCCACACCATGAAATGATAGGTAAAGGGCCAGGGGTTTCATTGACTTTTCGATGCTCCAAAGGCCAATCTCCAAGATTAACATAAAATTCTAAATCTGGGAGAAGGACCTAAATAAACAAAAGAATGCTTATCAGTGCTGGGAAGACCTCAGTCTTTGGTACTAAATGCTTCAGTTCTTTGGCTTTTAAAATATTTCTGATAAAACTGAAATTTGAAAATAGTAGAAGAGAGAAGGATGCCTCTCAGTCATCAGTAGTATCAGAAAATCAAGGGTGAGGATTGTACATGACAATTCACTTGAGCAGGAGTTAGCTACCTCTGTTCAGAGGTGACATTTAAAACTGTTGTGTATTATAGATATGGAAACTGTGTAGAAAGGTGTGAATGAGTGGCTTCAAGCACCTTTTCTGCCAGCTGCTTAAGTGAGAATCTACAAAGTTAGACCCAAGCCCTTGTTTTCCTTCACTATCAAGCCTTTTTATAACATCTATGTTTGTTTCTGGAATCTGCTATCCATTTCTATCTCCATGGTCAATGCCTTAGTTTAGGCCTTTATCATCTCTTACCTAGATTGTTGCAATAGTTGTCCCTTACTAGATGTTCTGATTCTAGCCTCTCCCCACTCTAATCTGCTCTCCACATTACTGTCCAAATTTCTAAAACACAAATTAATGTTACTATCAAGCTTAACAGAAATTTAAGCCTATAGGACAAGGTCTAAACTCTCTGGCTGGAATTCAGGCCCCACTCTCTTACTCCAGCTTAGCTCTGAATCCATCTTCCATCTGCCCGTATACCAGAAAACTTTAGTTACTCTCTGAAAATGCCACCCACTTTAATACGTAATTCTCTTCACCTAGAATGCCCTTCTCCTACTTATCCACTTGGCAGTCTCCTGTCTCATCCTTCACACTCAGAGCTAGTGTTACCTCTTCTATGACTCGCCTTCCTCAGACATTTTAACCCTGGGTACCTACTTTTCTTATGGGCCTATCGTGTTGTGGTACAATTACTTGTTTGTATTTACATCCCATCCTCAATTCTGAATAACAAAAACAAGTTCCACTAGAGTGAGCTGTTCAAAGACCAGAGGTGAGTCTCACTTATCGTAAGTCTCCTTTCAGTCACTGGGCAAAGAACCTGGAACAAAAGGGAAGGGCAAAGGGATATGACTATTCACCTTAGTGCTTCCCTGTTATCATTTAGTAGCTCATTAGTAAGCTCCACATCAGAAGTTCTCACTGTAGAGCAGGATTTCTCAATCTTGGCACTATTGATATTTTGGTGTGGATAATTCTTTCCTGTGGGGGCTGTCCTGTGCATTGTAGAATGATTAGCAGAATCCCTGGCCTCTACCCACCAGATGCTAGTAGCAACTCCCCAGTTGCGATAACCAAAAATGTCCCTAGGCATTGCCAAATTCCTCTAAGGGGCAAAATCATTCCTAGTTAAAAACCACATGAGTACAAGATACAGAAATACAGGGCAGAGTGGATTGATGGTAGCCCAGGAAGAAAGAACCGCCTTTAGGATCAGATGCCCATAATATGCTCATACGGTGGGTTGATGGGGAGATAGGAGGCAACTGCTATTTAAAATAAGAATTGATTGCAGCCCTACATTCCATGTGCTTGGGAAATTGTATAACTCACATCAGGAAAGCTGGCTTTTGATTTAGAAAACTACCTTGATGGTCTTTCTGGGTGAAAAAGGTAAAAAATGCCCATCCTCATCTTTTACTCTGCATGATCAGGAACAAGAAAGAACAAAAGGCGGTTTGAATTGCTCTGCTTAAGAGGAATTTATAGGAATTTGGCAAATGTGGAAAGAGGGGCTGAATAGAGGGATTGGGGGAGGAGTTGCTGGGGATGTGGAGAAGTCTTTTGAAAGACAGAAGCCCCAGTCATATTTAGTAAGAAGCCAAGACTTGAAAATCAAGGACAGCCAGTGAGAAATTCCCAGAGGCAAGGATGACTGAGAGTCTGATTAACACAGGGATGTCTATTTTTAAATGTTAGGATTTTTGTTTTGTTTTGTTTACTCTGCATTGGCACAAAATAACCTCTCTCAGTTACCTCAACATTCAATGAAGTGTGCAATGCACTTAGGATAAAACAAGGAAAATGTATGCACTTAGGATAAAACAAGGAAAATGTGTCCTCAGTTCAACTTATTCTGAGGTGACAAGAAGAAAGTGAAATCTGAATGGAAGGAGTATTCAGCAGGATTGGGGAACTTGAAGAAGTCACCTTGCAGTTGTAAATGTCTGGGAGTTCACAGAAACCTTGGGAGAGCACTATATGGCCTACTTACCTGGGATGGGGGCTCAAGCCATTTAACTTAAATATTAAAGGAAAGAGATATCCATTAAGGTGAAGAACTTATGAGCACTCAGGTGGCAGACAGATGCACATTTTCAAGCCTGGAATCCATTTCCATTCTTTACCATTATTATTCTAAGAATTAAAGGTTACAAATAAATAATTAAACTATTTTTAGAATCAATGAATTCATTCTCATACCTTTCTTGCCAGTGACAGCAAAATCTCATCTGAGAACATTTTGAAGTCTGTGTATTTCCCTAAAGATCTCCGGTAGATTAGGTTACTGAGAATCGTGTAATGAACAATAGCACCCCTCTCATCCCCAAACCTTTTTGGAACTTCGTTTAGCATCTGCTGGAGATTGATGCTGGGAAAAGAAGAAAAATCTTTTGCAATCTGTGGCTCCTTGGCTGGACAAGACAGAGTTTTCTGCCAGGCCTGAGGATCCTCTTCTGGACACTCACAGTACTCATGGTACACTGGTCCTAAGGAAAGCAAAACACATACAATGCCAAGTTTCATTAACATGCACTGCAACACAGGAAGTTGTTTCTGCCCCTGCTGTGAGCATGGGATGACTTCTTGGTAAATTCTAAGATTATCCAGACAGGGATAATCTGCCCTAAACAAATCAGTAGTAAAAGTAGTAATGTCAGAGTCTTGTGCTCTCACCTTCTATCCCCCTTTCATCCCACCCTAGATAAACTAGTATAGCATATGCTCTCTCCCAATATAACCTACTCGCAGTCAATTTATTGAAAAATTTATTTCTAATGAGTTATAAATGGCTGATGAGCATAAAACAACTTACCTTTTAACAAGGAAAAAGAGAATGTATTACTTTTCAGGCATGATAATGTAGTAGGGGTGGTGATTTTTTAAGACAAGATGAGGTCTCTTCCTCTGAGTCCCTAAAACTACCTCCATCAGCACATCTCAAAGAGGAAATATGAAACCTAAGGGCATCTTGCAGTGTAATTTTAAAGTGGCCAGACATAAGTATAAAACTATTCTGAAGACTCATTTAAAAAAGAATTTATGCAGAATTTATATATTATTTCAAAATATATCCATATTTATTTTAATATAAAAATAATTTTTTAAAGTTATTCAATTTTCATGAGAATTTCTACTTCAGACAAGTAATAGGGACCAATTTACCCTCCTACCTGAAACTACCAAAAAACAGATAAAATATATGAAATAACATTTTTTTTTAAGACATTGGACATCAGGCAATGGACAATGAGTTTGAGAGATGAGAAACAAATGAGGTAAACCCTACAGTTCCTAAAGCTTACTGCCTAAGGGAGTTTCTAGGTTGTGGAACATGGAGGAGGAATCCAGGTAGACCCCAGCAGTCTCACTGAGCTGAGGAGACAAGAGCTGAAAGTCCAGTGAGATCAAGGCAGCTAAAAGTTGTAGGACATACTCACTGCACAGAGAGGACTCCAGAGATCTGTACAGGTTCCCTTCAAATATTTAAGGCATACTGACCAATATATATGTTTGAGGAAACTATCCAAGGCAGAGAAAGGACCATCCATAAGGATTAGAGGCAACAATACCCATTGTTCATACAGGGCTGGGAATAGTGCCTATTCATACAAGCCAGACTGGAAAGCATTCTAATTCACAGAGGTTGGATAGAGTATGCAGAGATGTATTGCCTGAGTAGTAAGGAATAATTAGCCCTAGACTAAACATGGCTCTAGGCATGCCTAATAAATTGTAAAAGAAAATTTGAAGCATCAAACTAATTCCAAATAACTTAACTGCATCCTAGAGAAAAGCTCAAGAAGATGAGAAAGCATCAAGCAATGAAGAATACACTGGATGGAATTAATGACAAATTGGGCGTTATAGAAGAAAAGATTAGTGAACTTAAAGATATAGCAATAGAAACTATACAAAACGAAATGGAGAAAAAACATATTTTTAAATGAAAAGAGCATAATTGAGTCATGGGATAATTTCAAGTTTAATGTATGGGTAATTAGAATTCTTGGAGGGGAGCTGGGGTAGAACAGAAAAAATATTTGAAGAAATAATGGCCAAATTTTTTCTGGATTTAATGAAAGCTATAAACCCAAAGATCCACAAACCCTAAGCACAAGAAACATGAAGAAACCTACACCAAAGCACATAATAATCAAATTGCTCAAAAAAAACTGATAAAGAGAAAACCTTTAGCAGAGGATCAAAGATATAGATGATGGAAGATTTATCATGGGAAATAATGCAATTGAGAAGACAGTGGAACAGTATATTTCAAGTACTAAAAGAAAAAAAAAACTGTCAACCTATAATTTTTGAAAGACATCTGTCTTTCAAAAATAAAGGCAAAATAAAGACTTTTTCAGATATCCAAAAGCTAGAAGAACTAATCATCAGCGTTCTCACATTAAAAGAAAAGCTAATGGGAATCCTTCAGGTAGAAGGCAAATGGTACTAGATGAAAATATGTATGTATGCAAAAGAATGAAGAGTACTAAAAATGGTAACTACCCCGGTAAACACACAAGATTTTTTTGCTTGTCATTTAAATTGCTTTAAATTACTTAGTTTTTCTCTCCCTTAAAATATCTAGTTAAATTGAGCTCCAGAAGATACATATATAATGTTTACCCTGTTGCACATACTTTAAGGTCATCATAACGCATTCTGAAAGCCATGGAGTCTACTCATAAGGCTGGCTCTGGTTTATGTAATAATTACTTACCTTTCAAAATATAAGGAGACTGAGCGACATGTTCATCACCATAAAGGACCTCTATCTTCAGCCCTTCACTGACAGTTTCATACATCCTATATCGCATCAAAAATGTCCCATCATTCCTGTCCAAAGGTTTAGGGATGTGAATCCGAACTAACTCTTTAGGTGAGAGAGATTTGATTACTACTTTGAATAGTGTTTGGCCTGAAAGAAAAAAAATATATAAGTAATTCTACTATTTCATGATTATTTTGTTTTACTAATTATTGGGTAAGTGTCTTTATGCAGAAGTTATTTTTTCAGTACTATCAATGGTAAACAAAATTATTTTAGTTTGGAAGATCCTTGAGGCCAGGAACCACGTTTGATTTATGTCTCAAAACCAAGGATCTGATTCAACATTTGATTCCTTAGTCATTCAATAAGATTGATTGAGTGAACAAAATCATTGAATAAAATAATTCTTAAAAAAACAAGGAAGAGATTAATTTTTTGCCTATTTGATCTTTTCTCCTTTGTGTAGGTTTAAAAGCCCAGGTAGTTAAAAATCCATAAACTTTTAGGATGACATAGCTCTAAGGCAATCTAACTTACTCCTTATAAAGTATGCACAAGCTTTCTTTGTAAACCATTTTAATACCTAATAAACCTCAATTCTGAAGAAATTTCCTTTTTATTAACCCAAATTTCAAGCTATACTTCCAAGCCCATTTCCTTAAGTAGAGAGAGATTATAGCTAGTTACTAGACTCTGCACAAATGCAACACACTCATACGTACACACAAACTCACATACCTTTGTAAATACTAGAGTTTACTTCTCTAAATTTGTTTCCTCAAGTTGAAATGAAACAGTTATACTAGGATGATCTACTAGGATGATCTAACAACCTTTTCAAACCCAGAATTCTGTGGGTTTTCTTTTCCAGGATAGACAATACCTACTTAGCAAACTTTCCCTTCTCTTTTTGCAGTATATTAGCTGACTTTTCAGGCTTTGAAACAATATTGTTGCAGGAATAAATGTTGGGACTTCTTTCCTCAGAGAGTACAGTGGACATACCTGCACTCAGTACAGATCTGATCCTCAGGAGCTTTAAGAATAAAGATCAGTTAATGTCTTAACCACAGTTAATCACCTATCAAAGGAATTGTTAAAAAAAAAGTGGTGACTCCTCTGAAATACACAGTCCTGGTACACAATAATTTGTGATCAAACAGTCTTTCATCTCACACTATCATATTTCATAATATTCAAATATTAAGCATATTTTTTGTTTTTTTAAATTAATTTTTATCAGAATATAGCTGCTTTATTTTTTAATTTTATTGTATTAAGCATATTTAACATATATTTTTGAAATTACTAAAGAAAAAAGTTTGTTCCTCCTATTCTTAGTTTCTAAATCTAGTGAGTGATGTTTCTACTTTTTTTGATCTTCAAGGGTATCATTTTTTCTTGTGGGTCAGAAAAAAATGTTTCTCAGTCTCTTCAATTTAGTAATAGTAATGTAGTATCTGACATATTGCTACTACATAATTAAGTACCAAACACATGCATTTTAGGATTCTTGAAAGAAGTGTGATAAAATTATGAAAGACATCTGCTAAAAAAAATGAACTATAACAGATAAATGTAAGGGATTTATTAAAAAAAAAGAGTAATAACTTAATGTGAAATTATTATAAATGTTGGCCAATTACCTGAAATGCTTAATGAAACATGTAAGTTATTGCTTTACGTTATTTCCCGCTTAAGTTTCAGAAAGGCAATGTGGTATGGTAGACTGAAAATCAGGAAGTCAGAGCCTGGAGACTAAAAAGCCACCATTCTCTCCCCAGACTGGAAACAGGACAGAAAAGTCTTCTTATCTCCTATCAAATAGTGCTATTCTCCATAAGTTTATGATTTTTAAATAAACAAAACAGATATAAGACAAGCATATTAATGACTATGTGATATTTTGGAAGGAGCTGGATTTACAAAAGAAAACTATCTCCAAAACACTTCATTATTTTTAAATTGATCACTCTAAAATAGAAATAAGCAATTCCAACATCATAAAAGAGAAAATGAGAAGAATGCCATTTCAAATTGCTTCAGATAGAAGGTACGTGAATTCTCATTTGCCCTGGGGGCTAATATAATGGAACAGAATCAAGCTCAGCTTGAGCTTTTCTATTCCACAGATCCACACTTGTTTAGGAAAGATAGCTAATTGAATGAGAATGCAGTGACTAAAGGAGACAAAAGGAGGTTGGCAGTATCAAAGCCTTACATCATTAGAATCAGAAATTTTGCAGACTTTTGATATGGAAAGAACACATTTTTTAAAAATTCACTTACTTAGCCAGGGGGACTGGGCCAGTCCCTGAGCTTGGAATTTTCATATGCATTTTCTTATTTATTTCCTCCAAGAACTTGTGAGGAAGGTATTTGCCACCCCATTTTACAGATCAGGAAGCCAAGGCTCCCTTGAAGAATTTAAGTATATACCTTGCCCAAGGTCTCATACCTATGAGTAGCAGAGCCAAAATTTGCACACAGCTTGAATCTTTCTTCTTTCAAAGCCCATTCTGAATCCAACTTGTCACATTGTGTAATGTTAACATACAGGTTCCCAAAATTCATAGTTGGAGAAATAACCTCTGACATTCCTGGTACAATGGAGTCAGCACCTCCCTTGTTGTTTAGGAATTTTATTAAGGCTCTCTACAGCTGCAACAAAAGTGTTGACTCCATCTGGCCAAGGGAACAGAGTCCCTGAAGGCCAACTTGTTACACCTTGAGGCTAAATGGAAATCCTCCCAAATGTCTGGCTGCCTGCTTACCATGCATACTCTATAGGATCTTAGTGAAAACTGGTTCACAGTGATCATATTACCAGTGATTTGATAAAAGGGAAAGACCATTGAACTAGATATTGAAAGGGCTGGGTATCTGGTTTTGACTCTGATCCTTATCCACTGTAGGACCACAGGAAAGACATTTATTTTCACTAACCTGGTTTCTTAAGGAAAAAGTGAAGAGAATAGTATCTACCCTTCCTACCTCACAGGATGCTTAAGGAGAGCAAATTAAACACGGCACAGTTCAAAACACTGAAGTGCTACACAACTAGGAGGTAAGATAAGTTTATGAAGATATCATTACTGATGAAGGTAGAGGATGACTGAGGAGAAAATGAGTACTTGTATCCTGCCATCCTGACATACTCCAACCACCCTCTCTCCACCCCTTCTTTCTTTTCTTCTACAATAGTTACTGAGCAACTTTGCCGGGTATTATGTTAGATGCTGGGAATATAACAGTGGCAACAGGTTCTGCCTACATTCATAATAGAAGGAAATAATCTAAGTCAGACATTAGTGAAAATAAAGATATAAATTGTTTTTTTTCCTCATTCAAGGTCACAAGGGATTGAGTAGGATAGTCAAAATCAAGGGATTGAGTAGGATAGTCAAATAGTTAGCATAGAAACCCCATTAGGGAATTGTAGATAGAGAGGGAAATTTAGGGGGCTTTGGGAGACCACAGTAAGATTAATGATCACTCAAGAAAGTAATGGGAAAATCCTGAAACAATGTGGACTTGCTTGACTCATAAAGCAGAACAAGTTGCTTAGCATCAAAGCCAGATTGGCTTGCTTAACAACAAAATCAAGCTAACTTGATTAGCTACAAAATCATGCAACAGAAGCACGAGACATGCCCCAAAACAATAAAACAATAGTAGCATAAGACCTACATCCTGTCCAGTGAGCTCAGTAAGTTAATGACCCCCAAAACATGCTTTTTGCCTGATGCCCTAAAAACAATAAAACAATAGTGGAGAATAAGGCCTACAACCTGCCTAGTGATGTCATCAAGTTAATGACCCCCAGCACATGCTCTGTGCACACACAAAAAAACAATCATTTATGGAAATGTGACATCTACCCAAGAGAGACAAAGAAGGTCTTCTCCCCGTCCCCTGTCTTCCTTTGATTATAAAACTGTAACCCATTAAGCACTCAGGGGAGAGCAACTTGCCTGCCCACTTGTAAGCCTCACAAGTGTTCTATCCTAATTAATCACTTCTTATCTATCACTTTGCCTTTGCTGAATTCTTTCTGTGTTGAGATATAAAGGACCAGCCTCCTTGGAGCCCCCTGAAACGACACCTATCAGTTTCAAAAGGGCATGGACATTTTTCATAAATGATGTATTTTTTAAAAATTACATTTTCTAACTGTTGAAACTCATTTTTGCACATTAGATTTGTAAATGTTTAAGACTCTTCATATGTTGGGAAAATTACTTTCCAGAACCATTTGACCAATTGTGCTCCCACCAGCGGAGGATGTAGGTCATTGTCTGAGAGTATCTCATTAGCAGCTTTGAGTATTACCACTTAAAATTTTTTTGCCATTATTTTTAGATTAAAAAATGGAATTTTATTTGAATTTACAGTTCTTTCATTAAAAGTAAGATTAACAGTATTTCCTTTTGGATCATGTAACTTTCCTTTTTCATGTATAAATTAATTTTTTCCTTAGTTTTCCATCTTCTTTCTAAAGTCCTCCCCCATTTATAACATTATAAAATTAATTTTAGAAAACAAAGAAAACTATAAAGAAGAAAATACACCTCATGGTGAAAGACTGAATCTGGGTTTAAGAATCTTTTTTTCTGATCCTTAGGGCCAAGGAGAGTCTTTCTAAAACTGAAAAAAAAAAGTACTCAGGTTTCCACCGGCAGCGGAAGGGGCACTGGGTATTCTGATTGTCTCTTTGTTGATAAAACAGGGTGCCAGTTAGCAAGACATAATTTAGACATAAATTATCAAATCCTGACTGGCAACAACTTGAAACTAGCGGGACAAGTTGTAAGACGTTGCAAAGGTAAGATATTAAAGAGAACGTGGGAGGATGACTGGGCAGAAGGGATTCAGGACGATATCCACCCTCGGTAGAGGTAAAACCTAATGCGTTCTGAGTTTCGCTAATTCCTGCAATCTGCTTTCAAGAACTCAAAACTCTAAGAAAATAACCTAGTCTGCAAAACTGCCTCCTTTCTGCCTACTGCTCTGATATTTCCTTTGTGTAGGAGGGAGCTGTTTCAAACCCATTAGGCCTAAGCAGTGTAACCCCATCCGATTCTTGGGCTTGATGACTCAACACGTGAAGGCACTCCCTGCAAGCTGTGACAGATCAGACAACTAGT